CAATTTTCTAAAAGACAATACAGAAATATATTAAGCATGAAAACCCACCAGTTGTATTGCTGATTTTCCCCTCAGAACAAGGGACACAGTCGAAACAGCATTCAGGTTCCCCTTTCTTTCTGGCCATGCGGTACCTGGAGGACAGCTCTCACTACATACTGACTGAGGTGGCTGTGTGGAAAAAATACATTTGTAAATATATATTACTCAATCTGGCTTATATTTGCAGTCAATGTTATCTGTATAATCAGAAATACCTTTTTAGTAATAAAGTTCCAGAAGATTTTGTCTTCATCAATTTTAAGAACTTCACCTTTGAAATCAGACCTCTTAACATCACCCACATTTTGAACTTTAATTTTCCATCGGGGAGCCACAGCCAGTTGATGACATCATAGATTGGTAGCACATCTCCATTCTCATCAAATGAAACTTGATCACCAAATGATGTGGTGAAGTTAACCTTTTGTAAATAATGAACAAGCTACAAATGAAAAACAGAAACAAAGGGAGTATTAAGGACTCAAACTAAACAAGGTTTATCCCACTATTCAGTGATGTACAACTTGTCATTTATTTTTATCCTTTTATTCTATCTCTATATTTGTATACAAAATAAATAAATAAAACAAAACACAAAACATAGTAACAAATGATTGAGCATCTATCAATGAAAACAAAGGTAGAGTTTAAAGTGATATCACACCTGCCATGGCTCCAAAGTTTGAAAATTGGCACAGCTGTGCCCTGAAAGGCCCTCTCCCTGGCTCACACTTCATCACATCATCAAGGGCATACGCTAGAGAATACACAGCTTTGTAAATATTGTACTCAGGCCTGAGGTTTGAAACATCTAAAAAATCGCTCTCAACATTTTGTATGTCTTCTTCTCCATTGCAGAGTGTTTCCCCAGCTTTCAGCCAACTCGGTGAAGCAAATTTACACCGAAATGTGGATTCCCAAAACTGCCTCACCTGAAATGCAGTATATCATAAATTAATTGGTATTAACAGATATAACGCAAATAAAAGTCAATCAGTAACTATTCATTTTAAAACAAATTGTTCGTGAACTCCCACCATGCTTGTTCCAGAGCTGTCATTGTTTTTTGTCAGGATGTATTTGTATTAAAAACTCCTTCAGTCCTGGTATTTCCCCTCGACGGATGGCAATGCCGAGCGTGCCTTCAGGTACGGCATGAGTTCGGGTGTCTGAAGCACAGTAGATGCTGTCCAGGCTTCACTTGCTATCCACTGTAGGCCTGTCACATTCTGCCTAAGCACCTGTGTGTAGCATTATTTAGAGTTTAGAGACATTAGCACAGATATTAAAAGAGTCTATTGAAATGTAAAGGAGCAGTCACTTATCAAACATGTCATATCATATCTTACTTTTCATGCGTAACGTTTTGTTTTTTTGCTTTCTAAAAGTGCTCAACGTTGTGAAATTCACAACTGGCTTCCATAGTTTTTTGTAACTTTCCTATATAACCTGATTTCATTTATTCTAATTGTTCAAGTTTTTTTTATAATTCTTTCAACTGCATGAAATTAGTCCTCTCATAATTGCACAAAAATGTTAAACAAATTTTTTAATCCTTTTATTTTTCGAACACTTAGCATTTTAAATAGTATATAAAGTATTTTTATTCTAACCTCTGCCATAAGATGTATCATGTGAAACTCCTGTGCAAAAATAACCACACGGGCTGTGGATGTCTTCATCACATCAACAATCCTACTAAGTTTAGCTGGTCACTGTCCCAGGGCAAAACTTCTAAGTAGGCCAGACAAGCTCCACTGGATTGAGTCAGATCAGATTGGAAGGATCGAGCAACATGGAGTCCATAGTCACCATCACTGACTAGCAGGCCGACCCAAGTCCAGCTGAAGTGTTGCAGAATCTGTATCACTGCACGCACCTAATACAACATATTGTATTAGACCAGTAAACTCATTTAAATGACATACACAATAAACAGAATTTTGGTGATACACATACAGTAAATTTTCAATTTAATATAACTGAATATATATCCTTCACACTAAAATCATACATGTGAAAAAAAGATTGAGTAAAAATTGTCTCGTGTTATTTGTCATGTCAGTTTCTTCAAGCTTACTGTGAATGAAACTGACAAATATTGCAATTCTCATTGCGGTAAAAATTCACCTGGAAAGCATCACTTGGGATTGTTCTAAAGAAGGATGGGAACCGTTGCCGATGACTAAGGCAGGAACAAGTGGAAAAATAACTCACCTATAAAGGAACATACAATTTTTGACACCCTTTTAAGATAATCATATATTAAGAATACCTCACTTCAAAATAATGCAGTGATTTTAGACATTAAATAAACATACTTAATACCACAAAAAAAAAGACAGAGAAACTTACAATAGGCATTTTGTATAAACCCAGCACATTGGAAGTGGCAATGGAAAATGTAGAGGCAGAATCACCAACTATCCCCATGACTGGAGGGGTCCCTAAACAGTTCTCCTCAAACACATAGTGCTTTTCTCTGCCACTGGCAAGTGATAATCCACCACTGAATCCAATGATAAGTGCACCACAGTTGTCATACAGACTGTATCCTAGAGTCACATTAGGTAACAGATCGGAGCTCCTGTTGATCTCATCAATAGCAAAGGCCATGGTCATTGCATGCCTGAACCCTAGAGTTTTAAACCTAACACACACAGTATAAAGATTAAAAACGAAAATAAATGAATAATAGTAACCAGAGTATTCAAAGTAAATATTGCAAAAACTAGCTGGATATTTATCAAAAAGCACTATGATGATAACATATTTCAATTTCAATGTTATACTTTAAACATGTTTTACAGCACTGTCCTTATACTGATGCAATAATCAAACAACACAATTAACACAGATGCTTTCCGTCTGCTATGTTAGTGAAACCTACCCTTTGCAGATGGGCCATTGTGGCTCTGAGGTGTAAGTCCACTCAGGGAAAACAGAGGAATAGTGCACCTCAAATAGCCCAAGAACCACATCTCCAGGCTTGTGCATTTCATTAAGTTGAAACTTTCTCTGTAATTTACAAGATAAAGAAAAAGAGTTAGATACAGAGTGGAAGGAGAAGAGGGACAAATAAACCAAGATAAAATAATATGTGTTAAGAAAAGCTCCCATATCTGCCCTCCTCCTTTTACAACTGGTTCCCATCTTCATACAGAGTTATCTTTATATGCAGGGCATTTAATCCCAATGCACACTATCCTTTATTGTTCAATTCTTTATAACACCAGTCATCTGGGTGTTGGATATGGGGCAGGACATTAAAACACATAACAAATTGTGTGCTGTGGCAAACAGGTAGAATTGAGGAGGGCCTAAAACCACCTGGCAAACAACTAAAACACCCCCCCATCTCAGTCAACTCAGCCACAAATAATGAATTATGCTAATGTATGTTTAACTCTTAGCCTTGATAAAAAAAACAGATGAGTTACAAAATGAATTCTTCATTGCACATTTTTTAATACAAATTAATAATAATAATAATTAAGACTTTTATTTATAGCGCTTTTATAAATAAGATGTTTCTGAGATGGAAAAAGGCTGTTTTGGTGATGTGTTTGATGTGTTGGTCTAAGGACAGGGTTTGATCAAAGATGACACCGAGGTTACAGATGTGGGGGGAAGGGAGCACTGTGGATCCACCGTTGGAAAGGGATAAGTTGTTGGTGGATTTGGTGATGCATTTGGTGCAGATGATGATGACTTCTGATTTGGTCGCAGTTGAGTTTGAGAAAGTTGGTTTGAAGACAGGATTTTATTTCTATGATGCAGTCAGTGAGGATTGAGTGAGTGAGTGACAGGAGTTATGGATTTGGCAAAGCGGTCAAACTGAAGTCCATGGCGGTGGATTATGTGACCCAGGGGGAGCATGTACATGATGAAGAGCAGGGGTCCAAGAACTGAACCTTGGGGAAGATCTTGGGAGAGAGGAGCAGTGGGAGATTTGCATTGGTTTATGCTGATGAACTGATATCTGTCAGAGAGCTATGACTTGAGCCAGGAGAGAGCAGTGCTGGTGATGTTAAAAGTGGTTTCAAAGCAGGAGAGAATTATGGAATGGTTGATGGTGTTGAATGTTGCGCTTTGGTCAAGTAGGATGAGGATGTTGAGGTTTGAGGATGATTCATAAAGGTTATAGGCAGAGAGCTGAATTTTGAGTTGAGAAGCGACAGCATCTTCCAGTAGTTTTGAAAGAAATGGGAGGTTGAAGATGGGTTTGTAGTGGTTTGGGATGTCGGGATCAAGTCCAGGTTTTTTCAAAATGGCTGTGACAGCAAGTTTTTGGGATAGTGGGACGGTGCCAGTGGAAAAGGATGAGTTTACTGTTGAGATAATGAGTGGGGATAGGCTGGGAAGGCAGGCCTTGACAAGGGGACAGGGTCCAGAAGGCAGGTGGAAGTTTTCAATCCCACCATGAGGTCTGAAAGCTCTGTAGGGGAGACAGGGGACAACTGAGACAGGGCCTTAGAGGTTAAGGGGGGAAGCTGAAAGGAGGGGCCAGGTTGTTGTAGATGGTCTATTTTGCTGTTTGGAAGAATGACAGGAAGGAGGTGTATTTGTTGCTGTGAAGGAATAGGAACAGTCCAGATGGTTGAGGAGTTTGTTCATTGTGGAGAATAATGCTTTGGGTCTTCTGGAGCCAGACTGTATGAGTTGAGAGTAGTAGATGGATCAGGTGTGGAAGAGGGCATCTTTGTGTTGTTGGAGGTGGTCTTTGTAGGCTTGGGGGTGTATGGTGGGTGCTGTTTTGTTGTGTAGTCTATCCAATTAAAGTGAACCAAGAAGCAGAGTGGGTGAGTAACATTATTACTGTAACTAAGTCTTGTTTTTCAGGCTGTCTGGAAATTTTCAGGAAATTTTCAAGAGTGCATGAGTGAAAAATGTAAAAATGTAAGCTTTCTACAAGGAACTCGTGATGATCTTTCTTTCATGCATATATTTACAAGTCATAGATCTGAATAACACACAAATATGCTTTATTTCTGATTAGACAAAGGACACAGTTGTAAGCAGCAAAACTGACTTCAGGGAGATTTCTACTGAACAAATGCAACATACAAACTGGTTAAGACCACATGAAAGTTTAACAGTTGCTACTTTGACAAATTGGTGGTTCCTCTCCCGATTATTGCTTTTTTTGTGTTCCTCTCTGGTCTCAGCAGGATTATGTAACATTTGGGTCCAAACAGTGCCACCAACAGGCCAAAACTGGAGGCTAGGATGGCAAATATTTCCACTGCATCTGCATATTTGCCTGGTGAGTTGACATAAGCAGGGACAAAGGCCACCCACACAGCACAGAAAATAAGCATACTGAAAGTGATGAGTTTGGCCTCATTGAAGTTGTCAGGAAGATTCCTTGCCAGAAATGCAAGCAGGAAGCTGAGGATTGCCAGAAAGCCAATGTAACCCAATAAGACAACAAAGCCAATGGTGGACCCAACACATTCATACACTATCTTGTCATTGTAGTATTTGGTGTTCTTATGTGGAGATGGTGAGGAGATGACAATCCAGATGGTGCAAATTACTGCCTGAATAGAAGTAAGAACCAGGACTGTCCCTCTCTGTTGCATGGCACCAAACCACTTGAGAACAGCTCCACCTCCTGGCTTAGAGGCTTTGAACACAGCAAGAACCACCATAGTTTTCACCAGAATACATGAGACACAAAGCACAAAGATTATACCAAATGCTGCATGTCTCAACTTGCACGTCCATAATCTGGGGTGGCCGATAAACAGAAGTGAACACAGGAAACATAGTTTAAGTGACACTAGGAGGAGGAAACTCAGTTCTGCATTGTTGGCTCGTACCATGGGTGTGCTGCGATGATGGATGAAGATTACCAGGACGACAGAACAGAGAAATGTGCCCAGCAATGAGGCAGTTGTCAAGCAGATACCCAACGGCTCATGAAAAGAGAGAAACTCGGTCTTCTTAGGCACACAGATGTCATGCTTTGGGCTGGACCAGAAGTCCTCTGGACAACTTGTGCACTCTATGGAGTCTGAAAAAAGGGGAAGTTAGTGAGGCTTATTGTTTTGTAAAAAGAACAATTTTCTAAAAGACAATACAGAAATATATTAAGCATGAAAACCCACCAGTTGTATTGCTGATTTTCCCCTCAGAACAAGGGACACAGTCGAAACAGCATTCAGGTTCCCCTTTCTTTCTGGCCATGCGGGTACCTGGAGGACAGCTCTCACTACATACTGACTGAGGTGGCTGTGTGGAAAAAATACATTTGTAAATATATATTACTCAATCTGGCTTATATTTGCAGTCAATGTTATCTGTATAATCAGAAATTACCTTTTTAGTAATAAAGTTCCAGAAGATTTTGTCTTCATCAATTTTAAGAACTTCACCTTTGAAATCAGACCTCTTAACATCACCCACATTTTGAACTTTAATTTTTCCATCGGGGAGCCACAGCCAGTTGATGACATCATAGATTGGTAGCACATCTCCATTCTCATCAAATGAAACTTGATCACCAAATGATGTGGTGAAGTTAACCTTTTGTAAATAATGAACAAGCTACAAATGAAAAACAGAAACAAAGGGAGTATTAAGGACTCAAACTAAACCAAGGTTTATCCCACTATTCAGTGATGTACAACTTGTCATTTATTTTTATCCTTTTATTCTATCTCTATATTTGTATACAAAATAAATAAATAAAACAAAACACAAAACATAGTAACAAATGATTGAGCATCTATCAATGAAAACAAAGGTAGAGTTTAAAGTGATATCACACCTGCCATGGCTCCAAAGTTTGAAAATTGGCACAGCTGTGCCCACTGAAAGGCCCTCTCCCTGGCTCACACTTCATCACATCATCAAGGGCATACGCTAGAGAATACACAGCTTTGTAAATATTGTACTCAGGCCTGAGGTTTGAAACATCTAAAAAATCGCTCTCAACATTTTGTATGTCTTCTTCTCCATTGCAGAGTGTTTCCCCAGCTTTCAGCCAACTCGGTGAAGCAAATTTACACCGAAATGTGGATTCCCAAAACTGCCTCACCTGAAATGCAGTATATCATAAAATTAATTGGTATTAACAGATATAACGCAAATAAAAGTCAATCAGTAACTATTCATTTTAAAACAAATTGTTCGTGAACTCCCACCATGCTTGTTCCAGAGCTGTCATTGTTTACTTTGTCAGGATGTATTTGTATTAAAAACTCCTTCAGTCCTGGTATTTCCCCTCGACGGATGGCAATGCCGAGCGTGCCCTTCAGGTACGGCATGAGTTCGGGTGTCTGAAGCACAGTAGATGCTGTCCAGGCTTCACTTGCTATCCACTGTAGGCCTGTCACATTCTGCCTAAGCACCTGTGTGTAGCATTATTTAGAGTTTAGAGACATTAGCACAGATATTAAAAGAGTCTATTGAAATGTAAAGGAGCAGTCACTTATCAAACATGTCATATCATATCTTACTTTTCATGCGTAACGTTTTGTTTTTTTGCTTTCTAAAAGTGCTCAACGTTGTGAAATTCACAACTGGCTTCCATAGTTTTTTGTAACTTTCCTATATAACCTGATTTCATTTATTCTAATTGTTCAAGTTTTTTTATAATTCTTTCAACTGCATGAAATTAGTCCTCTCATAATTGCACAAAAATGTTAAACAAATTTTTTAATCCTTTTATTTTTTCGAACACTTAGCATTTTAAATAGTATATAAAGTATTTTTATTCTAACCTCTGCCATAAGATGTATCATGTGAAACTCCTGTGCAAAAACCATAACCACACGGGCTGTGGATGTCTTCATCACATCAACAATCCTACTAAGTTTAGCTGGGTCACTGTCCCAGGGCAAAACTTCTAAGTAGGCCAGACAAGCTCCACTGGATTGAGTCAGATCAGATTGGAAGGATCGAGCAACATGGAGTCCATAGTCACCATCACTGACTAGCAGGCCGACCCAAGTCCAGCTGAAGTGTTGCAGAATCTGTATCACTGCACGCACCTAATACAACATATTGTATTAGACCAGTAAACTCATTTAAATGACATACACAATAAACAGAAATTTTGGTGATACACATACAGTAAATTTTCAATTTAATATAACTGAATATATATCCTTCACACTAAAATCATACATGTGAAAAAAAGATTGAGTAAAAATTGTCTCGTGTTATTTGTCATGTCAGTTTCTTCAAGCTTACTGTGAATGAAACTGACAAATATTGCAATTCTCATTGCGGTAAAAAGGATTCACCTGGAAAGCATCACTTGGGATTGTTCTAAAGAAGGATGGGAACCGTTGCCGATGACTAAGGCAGGAACAAGTGGAAAAATAACTCACCTATAAAGGAACATACAATTTTTGACACCCTTTTAAGATAATCATATATTAAGAATACCTCACTTCAAAATAATGCAGTGATTTTAGACATTAAATAAACATACTTAAATACCAACAAAAAAAAAGACAGAGAAACTTACAATAGGCATTTTGTATAAACCCAGCACATTGGAAGTGGCAATGGAAAATGTAGAGGCAGAATCACCAACTATCCCCATGACTGGAGGGGTCCCTAAACAGTTCTCCTCAAACACATAGTGCTTTTCTCTGCCACTGGCAAGTGATAATCCACCACTGAATCCAATGATAAGTGCACCACAGTTGTCATACAGACTGTATCCTAGAGTCACATTAGGTAACAGATCGGAGCTCCTGTTGATCTCATCAATAGCAAAGGCCATGGTCATTGCATGCCTGAACCCTAGAGTTTTAAACCTAACACACACAGTATAAAGATTAAAAACGAAAATAAATGAATAATAGTAACCAGAGTATTCAAAGTAAATATTGCAAAAACTAGCTGGATATTTATCAAAAAGCACTATGATGATAACATATTTCAATTTCAATGTTATACTTTAAACATGTTTTACAGCACTGTCCTTATACTGATGCAATAATCAAACAACACAATTAACACAGATGCTTTCCGTCTGCTATGTTAGTGAAACCTACCCTTTGCAGATGGGCCATTGTGGCTCTGAGGTGTAAGTCCACTCAGGGAAAACAGAGGAATAGTGCACCTCAAATAGCCCACCAAGAACCACATCTCCAGGCTTGTGCATTTCATTAAGTTGAAACTTTCTCTGTAATTTACAAGATAAAGAAAAAGAGTTAGATACAGAGTGGAAGGAGAAGAGGGACAAATAAACCAAGATAAAATAATATGTGTTAAGAAAAGCTCCCATATCTGCCCTCCTCCTTTTACAACTGGTTCCCATCTTCATACAGAGTTATCTTTATATGCAGGGCATTTAATCCCAATGCACACTATCCTTTATTGTTCAATTCTTTATAACACCAGTCATCTGGGTGTTGGATATGGGGGCAGGACATTAAAACACATAACAAATTGTGTGCTGTGGCAAACAGGTAGAATTGAGGAGGGCCTAAAACCACCTGGCAAACAACTAAAACACCCCCCCCATCTCAGTCAACTCAGCCACAAATAATGAATTATGCTAATGTATGTTTAACTCTTAGCCTTGATAAAACAAAACAGATGAGTTACAAAATGAATTCTTCATTGCACATTTTTTAAATACAAATTAATAATAATAATAATTAAGACTTTTATTTATAGCGCTTTTATAAATAAGATGTTTCTGAGATGGAAAAAGGCTGTTTTGGTGATGTGTTTGATGTGTTGGTCTAAGGACAGGGTTTGATCAAAGATGACACCGAGGTTACAGATGTGGGGGGAAGGGAGCACTGTGGATCCACCGTTGGAAAGGGATAAGTTGTTGGTGGATTTGGTGATGCATTTGGTGCAGATGATGATGACTTCTGATTTGGTCGCAGTTGAGTTTGAGAAAGTTGGTTTGAAGACAGGATTTTATTTCTATGATGCAGTCAGTGAGGATTGAGTGAGTGAGTGACAGGAGTTATGGATTTGGCAAAGCGGTCAAACTGAAGTCCATGGCGGTGGATTATGTGACCCAGGGGAGCATGTACATGATGAAGAGCAGGGGTCCAAGAACTGAACCTTGGGGAAGATCTTGGGAGAGAGGAGCAGTGGGAGATTTGCATTGGTTTATGCTGATGAACTGATATCTGTCAGAGAGCTATGACTTGAGCCAGGAGAGAGCAGTGCTGGTGATGTTAAAAGTGGTTTCAAAGCAGGAGAGAATTATGGAATGGTTGATGGTGTTGAATGTTGCGCTTTGGTCAAGTAGGATGAGGATGTTGAGGTTTGAGGATGATTCATAAAGGTTATAGGCAGAGAGCTGAATTTTGAGTTGAGAAGCGACAGCATCTTCCAGTAGTTTTGAAAGAAATGGGAGGTTGAAGATGGGTTTGTAGTGGTTTGGGATGTCGGGATCAAGTCCAGGTTTTTTCAAAATGGCTGTGACAGCAAGTTTTTGGGATAGTGGGACGGTGCCAGTGGAAAAGGATGAGTTTACTGTTGAGATAATGAGTGGGGATAGGCTGGGAAGGCAGGCCTTGACAAGGGGACAGGGTCCAGAAGGCAGGTGGAAGTTTTCAATCCCACCATGAGGTCTGAAAGCTCTGTAGGGGAGACAGGGGACAACTGAGACAGGGCCTTAGAGGTTAAGGGGGGAAGCTGAAAGGAGGGGCCAGGTTGTTGTAGATGGTCTATTTTGCTGTTTGGAAGAATGACAGGAAGGAGGTGTATTTGTTGCTGTGAAGGAATAGGAACAGTCCAGATGGTTGAGGAGTTTGTTCATTGTGGAGAATAATGCTTTGGGTCTTCTGGAGCCAGACTGTATGAGTTGAGAGTAGTAGATGGATCAGGTGTGGAAGAGGGCATCTTTGTGTTGTTGGAGGTGGTCTTTGTAGGCTTGGGGGTGTATGGTGGGTGCTGTTTTGTTGTGTAGTCTATCCAATTAAAGTGAACCAAGAAGCAGAGTGGGTGAGTAACATTATTACTGTAACTAAGTCTTGTTTGTTTTCAGGCTGTCTGGAAATTTTCAGGAAATTTTCAAGAGTGCATGAGTGAAAAATGTAAAAATGTAAGCTTTCTACAAGGAACTCGTGATGATCTTTCTTTCATGCATATATTTACAAGTCATAGATCTGAATAACACACAAATATGCTTTATTTCTGATTAGACAAAGGACACAGTTGTAAGCAGCAAAACTGACTTCAGGGAGATTTCTACTGAACAAATGCAACATACAAACTGGTTAAGACCACATGAAAGTTTAACAGTTGCTACTTTGACAAATTGGTGGTTCCTCTCCCGATTATTGCTTTTTTTGTGTTCCTCTCTGGTCTCAGCAGGATTATGTAACATTTGGGTCCAAACAGTGCCACCAACAGGCCAAAACTGGAGGCTAGGATGGCAAATATTTCCACTGCATCTGCATATTTGCCTGGTGAGTTGACATAAGCAGGGACAAAGGCCACCCACACAGCACAGAAAATAAGCATACTGAAAGTGATGAGTTTGGCCTCATTGAAGTTGTCAGGAAGATTCCTTGCCAGAAATGCAAGCAGGAAGCTGAGGATTGCCAGAAAGCCAATGTAACCCAATAAGACAACAAAGCCAATGGTGGACCCAACAACACATTCATACACTATCTTGTCATTGTAGTATTTGGTGTTCTTATGTGGAGATGGTGAGGAGATGACAATCCAGATGGTGCAAATTACTGCCTGAATAGAAGTAAGAACCAGGACTGTCCCTCTCTGTTGCATGGCACCAAACCACTTGAGAACAGCTCCACCTCCTGGCTTAGAGGCTTTGAACACAGCAAGAACCACCATAGTTTTCACCAGAATACATGAGACACAAAGCACAAAGATTATACCAAATGCTGCATGTCTCAACTTGCACGTCCATAATCTGGGGTGGCCGATAAACAGAAGTGAACACAGGAAACATAGTTTAAGTGACACTAGGAGGAGGAAACTCAGTTCTGCATTGTTGGCTCGTACCATGGGTGTGCTGCGATGATGGATGAAGATTACCAGGACGACAGAACAGAGAAATGTGCCCAGCAATGAGGCAGTTGTCAAGCAGATACCCAACGGCTCATGAAAAGAGAGAAACTCGGTCTTCTTAGGCACACAGATGTCATGCTTTGGGCTGGACCAGAAGTCCTCTGGACAACTTGTGCACTCTATGGAGTCTGAAAAAAGGGGAAGTTAGTGAGGCTTATTGTTTTGTAAAAAGAACAATTTTCTAAAAGACAATACAGAAATATATTAAGCATGAAAACCCACCAGTTGTATTGCTGATTTTCCCCTCAGAACAAGGGACACAGTCGAAACAGCATTCAGGTTCCCCTTTCTTTCTGGCCATGCGGGTACCTGGAGGACAGCTCTCACTACATACTGACTGAGGTGGCTGTGTGGAAAAAATACATTTGTAAATATATATTACTCAATCTGGCTTATATTTGCAGTCAATGTTATCTGTATAATCAGAAATTACCTTTTTAGTAATAAAGTTCCAGAAGATTTTGTCTTCATCAATTTTAAGAACTTCACCTTTGAAATCAGACCTCTTAACATCACCCACATTTTGAACTTTAATTTTTCCATCGGGAGCCACAGCCAGTTGATGACATCATAGATTGGTAGCACATCTCCATTCTCATCAAATGAAACTTGATCACCAAATGATGTGGTGAAGTTAACCTTTTGTAAATAATGAACAAGCTACAAATGAAAAACAGAAACAAAGGGAGTATTAAGGACTCAAACTAAACAAGGTTTATCCCACTATTCAGTGATGTACAACTTGTCATTTATTTTTATCCTTTTATTCTATCTCTATATTTGTATACAAAATAAATAAATAAAACAAAACACAAAACATAGTAACAAATGATTGAGCATCTATCAATGAAAACAAAGGTAGAGTTTAAAGTGATATCACACCTGCCATGGCTCCAAAGTTTGAAAATTGGCACAGCTGTGCCCACTGAAAGGCCCTCTCCCTGGCTCACACTTCATCACATCATCAAGGGCATACGCTAGAGAATACACAGCTTTGTAAATATTGTACTCAGGCCTGAGGTTTGAAACATCTAAAAAATCGCTCTCAACATTTTGTATGTCTTCTTCTCCATTGCAGAGTGTTTCCCCAGCTTTCAGCCAACCCGGTGAAGCAAATTTACACCGAAATGTGGATTCCCAAAACTGCCTCACCTGAAATGCAGTATATCATAAAATTAATTGGTATTAACAGATATAACGCAAATAAAAGTCAATCAGTAACTATTCATTTCAAAACAAATTGTTCGTGAACTCCCACCATGCTTGTTCCAGAGCTGTCATTGTTTACTTTGTCAGGATGTATTTGTATTAAAAACTCCTTCAGTCCTGGTATTTCCCCTCGACGGATGGCAATGCCGAGCGTGCCCTTCAGGTACGGCATGAGTTCGGGTGTCTGAAGCACAGTAGATGCTGTCCAGGCTTCACTTGCTATCCACTGTAGGCCTGTCACATTCTGCCTAAGCACCTGTGTGTAGCATTATTTAGAGTTTAGAGACATTAGCACAGATATTAAAAGAGTCTATTGAAATGTAAAGGAGCAGTCACTTATCAAACATGTCATATCATATCTTACTTTTCATGCGTAACGTTTTGTTTTTTTGCTTTCTAAAAGTGCTCAACGTTGTGAAATTCACAACTGGCTTCCATAGTTTTTTGTAACTTTCCTATATAACCTGATTTCATTTATTCTAATTGTTCAAGTTTTTTTTTAATTCTTTCAACTGCATGAGATTAGTCCTCTCATAATTGCACAAAAATGTTAAACAAATTTTTTAATCCTTTTATTTTTCGAACACTTAGCATTTTAAATAGTATATAAAGTATTTTTATTCTAACCTCTGCCATAAGATGTATCATGTGAAACTCATGTGCAAAAACCATAACCACACGGGCTGTGGATGTCTTCATCACATCAACAATCCTACTAAGTTTAGCTGGGTCACTGTCCCAGGGCAAAACTTCTAAGTAGGCCAGACAACCTCCACTGGATTGAGTCAGATCAGATTGGAAGGATCGAGCAACATGGAGTCCATAGTCATCATCACTGACTAGCAGGCCGACCCAAGTCCAGCTGAAGTGTTGCAGAATCTGTATCATTGCACGCACCTAATACAACATATTGTATTAGACCAGTAAACTCATTTAAATGACATACACAATAAACAGAAATTTTGGTGATACACATACAGTAAATTTTCAATTTAATATAACTGAATATATATCCTTCACACTAAAATCATACATGTGAAAAAAAGATTGAGTAAAAATTGTCTCGTGTTATTTGTCATGTCAGTTTCTTCAAGCTTACTGTGAATGAAACTGACAAATATTGCAATTCTCATTGCGGTAAAAAGGATTCACCTGGAAAGCATCACTTGGGATTGTTCTAAAGAAGGATGGGAACCGTTGCCGATGACTAAGGCAGGAACAAGTGGAAAAATAACTCACCTATAAAGGAACATACAATTTTTGACACCCTTTTAAGATAATCATATATTAAGAATACCTCACTTCAAAATAATGCAGTGATTTTAGACATTAAATAAACATACTTAAATACCAACAAAAAAAAAGACAGAGAAACTTACAATAGGCATTTTGTATAAACCCAGCACATTGGAAGTGGCAATGGAAAATGTAGAGGCAGAATCACCAACTATCCCCATGACTGGAGGGGTCCCTAAACAGTTCTCCTCAAACACATAGTGCTTTTCTCTGCCACTGGCAAGTGATAATCCACCACTGAATCCAATGATAAGTGCACCACAGTTGTCATACAGACTGTATCCTAGAGTCACATTAGGTAACAGATCGGAGCTCCTGTTGATCTCATCAATAGCAAAGGCCATGGTCATTGCATGCCTGAACCCTAGAGTTTTAAACCTAACACACACAGTATAAAGATTAAAAACGAAAATAAATGAATAATAGTAACCAGAGTATTCAAAGTAAATATTGCAAAAACTAGCTGGATATTTATCAAAAAGCACTATGATGATAACATATTTCAATTTCAATGTTATACTTTAAACATGTTTTACAGCACTGTCCTTATACTGATGCAATAATCAAACAACACAATTAACACAGATGCTTTCCGTCTGCTATGTTAGTGAAACCTACCCTTTGCAGATGGGCCATTGTGGCTCTGAGGTGTAAGTCCACTCAGGGAAAACAGAGGAATAGTGCACCTCAAATAGCCCACCAAGAACCACATCTCCAGGCTTGTGCATTTCATTAAGTTGAAACTTTCTCTGTAATTTACAAGATAAAGAAAAAGAGTTAGATACAGAGTGGAAGGAGAAGAGGGACAAATAAACCAAGATAAAATAATATGTGTTAAGAAAAGCTCCCATATCTGCCCTCCTCCTTTTACAACTGGTTCCCATCTTCATACAGAGTTATCTTTATATGCAGGGCATTTAATCCCAATGCACACTATCCTTTATTGTTCAATTCTTTATAACACCAGTCATCTGGGTGTTGGATATGGGGGCAGGACATTAAAACACATAACAAATTGTGTGCTGTGGCAAACAGGTAGAATTGAGGAGGGCCTAAAACCACCTGGCAAACAACTAAAACACCCCCCCCATCTCAGTCAACTCAGCCACAAATAATGAATTATGCTAATGTATGTTTAACTCTTAGCCTTGATAAAACAAAACAGATGAGTTACAAAATGAATTCTTCATTGCACATTTTTTAAATACAAATTAATAATAATAATAATTAAGACTTTTATTTATAGCGCTTTTATAAATAAGATGTTTCTGAGATGGAAAAAGGCTGTTTTGGTGATGTGTTTGATGTGTTGGTCTAAGGACAGGGTTTGATCAAAGATGACACCGAGGTTACAGATGTGGGGGGAAGGGAGCACTGTGGATCCACCGTTGGAAAGGGATAAGTTGTTGGTGGATTTGGTGATGCATTTGGTGCAGATGATGATGACTTCTGATTTGGTCGCAGTTGAGTTTGAGAAAGTTGGTTTGAAGACAGGATTTTATTTCTATGATGCAGTCAGTGAGGATTGAGTGAGTGAGTGACAGGAGTTATGGATTTGGCAAAGCGGTCAAACTGAAGTCCATGGCGGTGGATTATGTGACCCAGGGGGAGCATGTACATGATGAAGAGCAGGGGTCCAAGAACTGAACCTTGGGGAAGATCTTGGGAGAGAGGAGCAGTGGGAGATTTGCATTGGTTTATGCTGATGAACTGATATCTGTCAGAGAGCTATGACTTGAGCCAGGAGAGAGCAGTGCTGGTGATGTTAAAAGTGGTTTCAAAGCAGGAGAGAATTATGGAATGGTTGATGGTGTTGAATGTTGCGCTTTGGTCAAGTAGGATGAGGATGTTGAGGTTTGAGGATGATTCATAAAGGTTATAGGCAGAGAGCTGAATTTTGAGTTGAGAAGCGACAGCATCTTCCAGTAGTTTTGAAAGAAATGGGAGGTTGAAGATGGGTTTGTAGTGGTTTGGGATGTCGGGATCAAGTCCAGGTTTTTTCAAAATGGCTGTGACAGCAAGTTTTTGGGATAGTGGGACGGTGCCAGTGGAAAAGGATGAGTTTACTGTTGAGATAATGAGTGGGGATAGGCTGGGAAGGCAGGCCTTGACAAGGGGACAGGGTCCAGAAGGCAGGTGGAAGTTTTCAATCCCACCATGAGGTCTGAAAGCTCTGTAGGGGAGACAGGGGACAACTGAGACAGGGCCTTAGAGGTTAAGGGGGGAAGCTGAAAGGAGGGGCCAGGTTGTTGTAGATGGTCTATTTTGCTGTTTGGAAGAATGACAGGAAGGAGGTGTATTTGTTGCTGTGAAGGAATAGGAACAGTCCAGATGGTTGAGGAGTTTGTTCATTGTGGAGAATAATGCTTTGGGTCTTCTGGAGCCAGACTGTATGAGTTGAGAGTAGTAGATGGATCAGGTGTGGAAGAGGGCATCTTTGTGTTGTTGGAGGTGGTCTTTGTAGGCTTGGGGGTGTATGGTGGGTGCTGTTTTGTTGTGTAGTCTATCCAATTAAAGTGAACCAAGAAGCAGAGTGGGTGAGTAACATTATTACTGTAACTAAGTCTTGTTTGTTTTCAGGCTGTCTGGAAATTTTCAGGAAATTTTCAAGAGTGCATGAGTGAAAAATGTAAAAATGTAAGCTTTCTACAAGGAACTCGTGATGATCTTTCTTTCATGCATATATTTACAAGTCATAGATCTGAATAACACACAAATATGCTTTATTTCTGATTAGACAAAGGACACAGTTGTAAGCAGCAAAACTGACTTCAGGGAGATTTCTACTGAACAAATGCAACATACAAACTGGTTAAGACCACATGAAAGTTTAACAGTTGCTACTTTGACAAATTGGTGGTTCCTCTCCCGATTATTGCTTTTTTTGTGTTCCTCTCTGGTCTCAGCAGGATTATGTAACATTTGGGTCCAAACAGTGCCACCAACAGGCCAAAACTGGAGGCTAGGATGGCAAATATTTCCACTGCATCTGCATATTTGCCTGGTGAGTTGACATAAGCAGGGACAAAGGCCACCCACACAGCACAGAAAATAAGCATACTGAAAGTGATGAGTTTGGCCTCATTGAAGTTGTCAGGAAGATTCCTTGCCAGAAATGCAAGCAGGAAGCTGAGGATTGCCAGAAAGCCAATGTAACCCAATAAGACAACAAAGCCAATGGTGGACCCAACAACACATTCATACACTATCTTGTCATTGTAGTATTTGGTGTTCTTATGTGGAGATGGTGAGGAGATGACAATCCAGATGGTGCAAATTACTGCCTGAATAGAAGTAAGAACCAGGACTGTCCCTCTCTGTTGCATGGCACCAAACCACTTGAGAACAGCTCCACCTCCTGGCTTAGAGGCTTTGAACACAGCAAGAACCACCATAGTTTTCACCAGAATACATGAGACACAAAGCACAAAGATTATACCAAATGCTGCATGTCTCAACTTGCACGTCCATAATCTGGGGTGGCCGATAAACAGAAGTGAACACAGGAAACATAGTTTAAGTGACACTAGGAGGAGGAAACTCAGTTCTGCATTGTTGGCTCGTACCATGGGTGTGCTGCGATGATGGATGAAGATTACCAGGACGACAGAACAGAGAAATGTGCCCAGCAATGAGGCAGTTGTCAAGCAGATACCCAACGGCTCATGAAAAGAGAGAAACTCGGTCTTCTTAGGCACACAGATGTCATGCTTTGGGCTGGACCAGAAGTCCTCTGGACAACTTGTGCACTCTATGGAGTCTGAAAAAAGGGGAAGTTAGTGAGGCTTATTGTTTTGTAAAAAGAACAATTTTCTAAAAGACAATACAGAAATATATTAAGCATGAAAACCCACCAGTTGTATTGCTGATTTTCCCCTCAGAACAAGGGACACAGTCGAAACAGCATTCAGGTTCCCCTTTCTTTCTGGCCATGCGGGTACCTGGAGGACAGCTCTCACTACATACTGACTGAGGTGGCTGTGTGGAAAAAATACATTTGTAAATATATATTACTCAATCTGGCTTATATTTGCAGTCAATGTTATCTGTATAATCAGAAATTACCTTTTTAGTAATAAAGTTCCAGAAGATTTTGTCTTCATCAATTTTAAGAACTTCACCTTTGAAATCAGACCTCTTAACATCACCCACATTTTGAACTTTAATTTTTCCATCGGGGAGCCACAGCCAGTTGATGACATCATAGATTGGTAGCACATCTCCATTCTCATCAAATGAAACTTGATCACCAAATGATGTGGTGAAGTTAACCTTTTGTAAATAATGAACAAGCTACAAATGAAAAACAGAAACAAAGGGAGTATTAAGGACTCAAACTAAACCAAGGTTTATCCCACTATTCAGTGATGTACAACTTGTCATTTATTTTTATCCTTTTATTCTATCTCTATATTTGTATACAAAATAAATAAATAAAACAAAACACAAAACATAGTAACAAATGATTGAGCATCTATCAATGAAAACAAAGGTAGAGTTTAAAGTGATATCACACCTGCCATGGCTCCAAAGTTTGAAAATTGGCACAGCTGTGCCCACTGAAAGGCCCTCTCCCTGGCTCACACTTCATCACATCATCAAGGGCATACGCTAGAGAATACACAGCTTTGTAAATATTGTACTCAGGCCTGAGGTTTGAAACATCTAAAAAATCGCTCTCAACATTTTGTATGTCTTCTTCTCCATTGCAGAGTGTTTCCCCAGCTTTCAGCCAACCCGGTGAAGCAAATTTACACCGAAATGTGGATTCCCAAAACTGCCTCACCTGAAATGCAGTATATCATAAAATTAATTGTATTAACAGATATAACGCAAATAAAAGTCAATCAGTAACTATTCATTTTAAAACAAATTGTTCGTGAACTCCCACCATGCTTGTTCCAGAGCTGTCATTGTTTACTTTGTCAGGATGTATTTGTATTAAAAACTCCTTCAGTCCTGGTATTTCCCCTCGACGGATGGCAATGCCGAGCGTGCCCTTCAGGTACGGCATGAGTTCGGGTGTCTGAAGCACAGTAGATGCTGTCCAGGCTTCACTTGCTATCCACTGTAGGCCTGTCACATTCTGCCTAAGCACCTGTGTGTAGCATTATTTAGAGTTTAGAGACATTAGCACAGATATTAAAAGAGTCTATTGAAATGTAAAGGAGCAGTCACTTATCAAACATGTCATATCATATCTTACTTTTCATGCGTAACGTTTTGTTTTTTTGCTTTCTAAAAGTGCTCAACGTTGTGAAATTCACAACTGGCTTCCATAGTTTTTTGTAACTTTCCTATATAACCTGATTTCATTTATTCTAATTGTTCAAGTTTTTTTATAATTCTTTCAACTGCATGAAATTAGTCCTCTCATAATTGCACAAAAATGTTAAACAAATTTTTTAATCCTTTTATTTTTTCGAACACTTAGCATTTTAAATAGTATATAAAGTATTTTTATTCTAACCTCTGCCATAAGATGTATCATGTGAAACTCCTGTGCAAAAACCATAACCACACGGGCTGTGGATGTCTTCATCACATCAACAATCCTACTAAGTTTAGCTGGGTCACTGTCCCAGGGCAAAACTTCTAAGTAGGCCAGACAAGCTCCACTGGATTGAGTCAGATCAGATTGGAAGGATCGAGCAACATGGAGTCCATAGTCACCATCACTGACTAGCAGGCCGACCCAAGTCCAGCTGAAGTGTTGCAGAATCTGTATCACTGCACGCACCTAATACAACATATTGTATTAGACCAGTAAACTCATTTAAATGACATACACAATAAACAGAAATTTTGGTGATACACATACAGTAAATTTTCAATTTAATATAACTGAATATATATCCTTCACACTAAAATCATACATGTGAAAAAAAGATTGAGTAAAAATTGTCTCGTGTTATTTGTCATGTCAGTTTCTTCAAGCTTACTGTGAATGAAACTGACAAATATTGCAATTCTCATTGCGGTAAAAAGGATTCACCTGGAAAGCATCACTTGGGATTGTTCTAAAGAAGGATGGGAACCGTTGCCGATGACTAAGGCAGGAACAAGTGGAAAAATAACTCACCTATAAAGGAACATACAATTTTTGACACCCTTTTAAGATAATCATATATTAAGAATACCTCACTTCAAAATAATGCAGTGATTTTAGACATTAAATAAACATACTTAAATACCAACAAAAAAAAAGACAGAGAAACTTACAATAGGCATTTTGTATAAACCCAGCACATTGGAAGTGGCAATGGAAAATGTAGAGGCAGAATCACCAACTATCCCCATGACTGGAGGGGTCCCTAAACAGTTCTCCTCAAACACATAGTGCTTTTCTCTGCCACTGGCAAGTGATAATCCACCACTGAATCCAATGATAAGTGCACCACAGTTGTCATACAGACTGTATCCTAGAGTCACATTAGGTAACAGATCGGAGCTCCTGTTGATCTCATCAATAGCAAAGGCCATGGTCATTGCATGCCTGAACCCTAGAGTTTTAAACCTAACACACACAGTATAAAGATTAAAAACGAAAATAAATGAATAATAGTAACCAGAGTATTCAAAGTAAATATTGCAAAAACTAGCTGGATATTTATCAAAAAGCACTATGATGATAACATATTTCAATTTCAATGTTATACTTTAAACATGTTTTACAGCACTGTCCTTATACTGATGCAATAATCAAACAACACAATTAACACAGATGCTTTCCGTCTGCTATGTTAGTGAAACCTACCCTTTGCAGATGGGCCATTGTGGCTCTGAGGTGTAAGTCCACTCAGGGAAAACAGAGGAATAGTGCACCTCAAATAGCCCACCAAGAACCACATCTCCAGGCTTGTGCATTTCATTAAGTTGAAACTTTCTCTGTAATTTACAAGATAAAGAAAAAGAGTTAGATACAGAGTGGAAGGAGAAGAGGGACAAATAAACCAAGATAAAATAATATGTGTTAAGAAAAGCTCCCATATCTGCCCTCCTCCTTTTACAACTGGTTCCCATCTTCATACAGAGTTATCTTTATATGCAGGGCATTTAATCCCAATGCACACTATCCTTTATTGTTCAATTCTTTATAACACCAGTCATCTGGGTGTTGGATATGGGGGCAGGACATTAAAACACATAACAAATTGTGTGCTGTGGCAAACAGGTAGAATTGAGGAGGGCCTAAAACCACCTGGCAAACAACTAAAACACCCCCCCCATCTCAGTCAACTCAGCCACAAATAATGAATTATGCTAATGTATGTTTAACTCTTAGCCTTGATAAAACAAAACAGATGAGTTACAAAATGAATTCTTCATTGCACATTTTTTAAATACAAATTAATAATAATAATAATTAAGACTTTTATTTATAGCGCTTTTATAAATAAGATGTTTCTGAGATGGAAAAAGGCTGTTTTGGTGATGTGTTTGATGTGTTGGTCTAAGGACAGGGTTTGATCAAAGATGACACCGAGGTTACAGATGTGGGGGGAAGGGAGCACTGTGGATCCACCGTTGGAAAGGGATAAGTTGTTGGTGGATTTGGTGATGCATTTGGTGCAGATGATGATGACTTCTGATTTGGTCGCAGTTGAGTTTGAGAAAGTTGGTTTGAAGACAGGATTTTATTTCTATGATGCAGTCAGTGAGGATTGAGTGAGTGAGTGACAGGAGTTATGGATTTGGCAAAGCGGTCAAACTGAAGTCCATGGCGGTGGATTATGTGACCCAGGGGGAGCATGTACATGATGAAGAGCAGGGGTCCAAGAACTGAACCTTGGGGAAGATCTTGGGAGAGAGGAGCAGTGGGAGATTTGCATTGGTTTATGCTGATGAACTGATATCTGTCAGAGAGCTATGACTTGAGCCAGGAGAGAGCAGTGCTGGTGATGTTAAAAGTGGTTTCAAAGCAGGAGAGAATTATGGAATGGTTGATGGTGTTGAATGTTGCGCTTTGGTCAAGTAGGATGAGGATGTTGAGGTTTGAGGATGATTCATAAAGGTTATAGGCAGAGAGCTGAATTTTGAGTTGAGAAGCGACAGCATCTTCCAGTAGTTTTGAAAGAAATGGGAGGTTGAAGATGGGTTTGTAGTGGTTTGGGATGTCGGGATCAAGTCCAGGTTTTTTCAAAATGGCTGTGACAGCAAGTTTTTGGGATAGTGGGACGGTGCCAGTGGAAAAGGATGAGTTTACTGTTGAGATAATGAGTGGGGATAGGCTGGGAAGGCAGGCCTTGACAAGGGGACAGGGTCCAGAAGGCAGGTGGAAGTTTTCAATCCCACCATGAGGTCTGAAAGCTCTGTAGAGGAGACAGGGGATAACTGAGACAGGGCCTTAGAGGTTAAGGGGGGAAGCTGAAAGGAGGGGCCAGGTTGTTGTAGATGGTCTATATTGCTGTTTGGAAGAATGACAGGAAGGAGGTGTATTTGTTGCTGTGAAGGAATAGGAACAGTCCAGATGGTTGAGGAGTTTGTTCATTGTGGAGAATAATGCTTTGGGTCTTCTGGAGCCAGACTGTATGAGTTGAGAGTAGTAGATGGATCAGGTGTGGAAGAGGGCATCTTTGTGTTGTTGGAGGTGGTCTTTGTAGGCTTGGGGGTGTATGGTGGGTGCTGTTTTGTTGTGTAGTCTATCCAATTAAAGTGAACCAAGAAGCAGAGTGGGTGAGTAACATTATTACTGTAACTAAGTCTTGTTTGTTTTCAGGCTGTCTGGAAATTTTCAGGAAATTTTCAAGAGTGCATGAGTGAAAAATGTAAAAATGTAAGCTTTCTACAAGGAACTCGTGATGATCTTTCTTTCATGCATATATTTACAAGTCATAGATCTGAATAACACACAAATATGCTTTATTTCTGATTAGACAAAGGACACAGTTGTAAGCAGCAAAACTGACTTCAGGGAGATTTCTACTGAACAAATGCAACATACAAACTGGTTAAGACCACATGAAAGTTTAACAGTTGCTACTTTGACAAATTGGTGGTTCCTCTCCCGATTATTGCTTTTTTTGTGTTCCTCTCTGGTCTCAGCAGGATTATGTAACATTTGGGTCCAAACAGTGCCACCAACAGGCCAAAACTGGAGGCTAGGATGGCAAATATTTCCACTGCATCTGCATATTTGCCTGGTGAGTTGACATAAGCAGGGACAAAGGCCACCCACACAGCACAGAAAATAAGCATACTGAAAGTGATGAGTTTGGCCTCATTGAAGTTGTCAGGAAGATTCCTTGCCAGAAATGCAAGCAGGAAGCTGAGGATTGCCAGAAAGCCAATGTAACCCAATAAGACAACAAAGCCAATGGTGGACCCAACAACACATTCATACACTATCTTGTCATTGTAGTATTTGGTGTTCTTATGTGGAGATGGTGAGGAGATGACAATCCAGATGGTGCAAATTACTGCCTGAATAGAAGTAAGAACCAGGACTGTCCCTCTCTGTTGCATGGCACCAAACCACTTGAGAACAGCTCCACCTCCTGGCTTAGAGGCTTTGAACACAGCAAGAACCACCATAGTTTTCACCAGAATACATGAGACACAAAGCACAAAGATTATACCAAATGCTGCATGTCTCAACTTGCACGTCCATAATCTGGGGTGGCCGATAAACAGAAGTGAACACAGGAAACATAGTTTAAGTGACACTAGGAGGAGGAAACTCAGTTCTGCATTGTTGGCTCGTACCATGGGTGTGCTGCGATGATGGATGAAGATTACCAGGACGACAGAACAGAGAAATGTGCCCAGCAATGAGGCAGTTGTCAAGCAGATACCCAACGGCTCATGAAAAGAGAGAAACTCGGTCTTCTTAGGCACACAGATGTCATGCTTTGGGCTGGACCAGAAGTCCTCTGGACAACTTGTGCACTCTATGGAGTCTGAAAAAAGGGAAGTTAGTGAGGCTTATTGTTTTGTAAAAAGAACAATTTTCTAAAAGACAATACAGAAATATATTAAGCATGAAAACCCACCAGTTGTATTGCTGATTTTCCCCTCAGAACAAGGGACACAGTCGAAACAGCATTCAGGTTCCCCTTTCTTTCTGGCCATGCGGGTACCTGGAGGACAGCTCTCACTACATACTGACTGAGGTGGCTGTGTGGAAAAAATACATTTGTAAATATATATTACTCAATCTGCTTATATTTGCAGTCAATGTTATCTGTATAATCAGAAATTACCTTTTTAGTAATAAAGTTCCAGAAGATTTTGTCTTCATCAATTTTAAGAACTTCACCTTTGAAATCAGACCTCTTAACATCACCCACATTTTGAACTTTAATTTTTCCATCGGGGAGCCACAGCCAGTTGATGACATCATAGATTGGTAGCACATCTCCATTCTCATCAAATGAAACTTGATCACCAAATGATGTGGTGAAGTTAACCTTTTGTAAATAATGAACAAGCTACAAATGAAAAACAGAAACAAAGGGAGTATTAAGGACTCAAACTAAACCAAGGTTTATCCCACTATTCAGTGATGTACAACTTGTCATTTATTTTTATCCTTTTATTCTATCTCTATTTGTATACAAAATAAATAAATAAAACAAAACACAAAACATAGTAACAAATGATTGAGCATCTATCAATGAAAACAAAGGTAGAGTTTAAAGTGATATCACACCTGCCATGGCTCCAAAGTTTTGAAAATTGGCACAGCTGTGCCCACTGAAAGGCCCTCTCCCTGGCTCACACTTCATCACATCATCAAGGGCATACGCTAGAGAATACACAGCTTTGTAAATATTGTACTCAGGCCTGAGGTTTGAAACATCTAAAAAATCGCTCTCAACATTTTGTATGTCTTCTTCTCCATTGCAGAGTGTTTCCCCAGCTTTCAGCCAACCCGGTGAAGCAAATTTACACCGAAATGTGGATTCCCAAAACTGCCTCACCTGAAATGCAGTATATCATAAAATTAATTGGTATTAACAGATATAACGCAAATAAAAGTCAATCAGTAACTATTCATTTTAAAACAAATTGTTCGTGAACTCCCACCATGCTTGTTCCAGAGCTGTCATTGTTTACTTTGTCAGGATGTATTTGTATTAAAAACTCCTTCAGTCCTGGTATTTCCCCTCGACGGATGGCAATGCCGAGCGTGCCCTTCAGGTACGGCATGAGTTCGGGTGTCTGAAGCACAGTAGATGCTGTCCAGGCTTCACTTGCTATCCACTGTAGGCCTGTCACATTCTGCCTAAGCACCTGTGTGTAGCATTATTTAGAGTTTAGAGACTTAGCACAGATATAAAAAGAGTCTATTGAAATGTAAAAGGAGCAGTCACTTATCAAACATGTCATATCATATCTTACTTTTCATGCGTAACGTTTTGTTTTTTTTGCTTTCTAAAAGTGCTCAACGTTGTGAAATTCACAACTGGCTTCCATAGTTTTTTGTAACTTTCCTATATAACCTGATTTCATTTATTCTAATTGCTTCAAGTTTTTTTTATAATTCTTTCAACTGCATGAAATTAGTCCTCTCATAATTGCACAAAAAATGTTAAACAAATTTTTTAATCCTTTTATTTTTTCGAACACTTAGCATTTTAAAATAGTATATAAAGTATTTTTATTCTAACCTCTGCCATAAGATGTAT